GGATTTGGCACGAAACTCGGCTAGAAATTATTCAATGAATTGCACTTTGTGCCACTCGACCCTCATCACGAGACTTGTTGTCATATGTCTTTCTAGCTTGTCCAGATACTTATTACACTAATTAAAAGTTTTTTTTATTCTTAATTATTATGCATCATTTCATCTAATACTTATTTATTATAAATCTATCAACCCAGGTGAAAATAAAAAAATAAACTAGAAATAGACTGATTTTTTAGTGTTAGAAAATAGTTGGAAATTTAACTTAAGGATGCATATATTTTAAATTGAAGCTTTAAAAGTAAAATTTATAAAAGTGCTATACATTTTCAAAGTAGATTGAGGTAGTGAATAAGAGACAGAAAGTGATGAACGAATAAAATATTTAAAATGATTGGAAAATGGATGAAAACTTAAACAAAATCTGACTGAAATATATTAAGAATAAGTATGTGAAACTTACTTTTAATAATTAAATCTAAAATAATAATTTGTATTCCAAACGGTATTCCTTTTAATTTCACAAATATTATCACAATTAATCATTTAAAATTACTTGTCACTAGCAACAATTTAATACGTCTTTATAATTCGATTGCTTCAGCTAAAGTATTATTTTAATATATTTATTTTTAATATTCTTTTTCATTTGTAATGAAATATTTTTGCGAACAATGCTTTTGACGTTTTATGTTTCTTTGCATACTAAATTTCATCTAAAGCATTATTAAACGCAATATTAATTGATTAAATATAATGAGAAATATTTTTTGAAATAAATTCAATAATTAATAATAAATTTTGAAATTTAACATTTTAAATAAAGACTGTATGAGGGCGTAGTGGTATATGATGTAACCGAATGATATGGTCAAGTACGATATGGACAGTGGAATAATTTAATGCAGACGTGTCTTATCACTTTCAATTCAACAGAGAGTCAGAGGGTAAATTTGCTGCCTCGAGAAAGATTCCAAATGACGCTGTAACTGCAAAAAGATCTGAAGACACTCTCACAAGAAATTTTATGCACATTAATGAAGTGCAAAGAAGCAAAGAGGAAGGAGAGCATAAGTGAGAGAAAGGATAAAAAGAGGTGAAGAGGTGTCTTTCGTAATTTACACAGCGTGAGAAAAGCGGACATGAATGTAGGAATTCTCTCTACTTACGCGCGGGCATTTCGCAAAACTTACCTTCCCTCTCAATTATTATATACTATTGAAATATTAGAGAAGCTGTTCATCCGCGTTCTCATGCAACCAATATGTATCAAGACGTACATTTGGTGAGGAAAAAATGACCGAGAAACTAACAGGTTGTGTGTATGTTATACACTCATCATCTGAAGACACTAGCAAGTTTAAATTTCCCTCAATATATGCATAATCCACTTTTCTTCCGAGATGAATGATTACTGCTGCAGTTCTGGTGAGGCTCACCAGTAGATTCACCAGAAATTGTTATGAAACGTCATTTTGCACACTACACGCTATCCTCCGTAACTAGAGAAATCAGTTAACAGATGCCTCGCGTGCAAAGTACCTAAGTGGTCGACTCGCGAGTCAGTCTACCTCAAACATTATACTCACGTTCCGCCCCTTCTTGTCCAATATACAATGCAAACATGCTTTATTAATCCGTAGTGAACCGAGCCAATTTACAAGAGGCTCTGCGATTACGGAAATTAATTAGGCCACACAGTCCGCCTTGAACAGTTATTATTATCAGTTAAACACATTTGTAGAATTGTCTGGGAGTGGTAACGCGCACGCCCGGAACTTGGGCAATTTGTAAAGTGCCAGACTTGCACTTGGAAAACTTTTAATGGACTGACACATCCGAGATGCAATCGTGTTTGTTCTTTGGCTTCCAACTTTATAACGTGGCTTGTCACGTGACCTCCTGTCTATGTCAAACTTCCATATGTCAATCCACCAACTAATCATTTTCACCAGCTCCACAATGGATAAAAAATAAATATCCAGTCGACTGTTTCAATCAAAACGATCATACCAATAATTCATTACAATACATTCATGCAATTGTTTCATTGTTGAACTCACAATAATACTTTGTGTAAAAAGTTGCGTGCTTCATTTCATTTACACCTATTATATTGTTTAAACGGCCTACTTTTATTATTATCATGAATAATGCAGTCGAGTGTTATAATTACTCTGTAATAATGTACAACAAATTCAAGAATTAAAGCAGTTTGGCATTGACTGGCTCACAGTTGACAATCCTTTTTTTTTTAATCGATCTGATTATATTTCTTCTAGTTAAGACAGAAAAAAAAAGATTGTTCTACGATATTATTTAAGGGAAATAATTACTTAAAGTCATACAAAAATACACGAACTCTTATGACTATCTTTATTCAATTTTACCGGAAGTTGATGATTTGTTAAAAATTGACGCAGTTAATTCTCATTAAAAACATCTTAATATCATAAATAGATAAAAATAACTTTAAAAAAGTAATAGAAATCTATAAAAACTTACCGGCATACTTAATAATTTTTTGTAAAGCATGAAACTTTTTTTAGAACTGAAAAACACTAAAGAACACAAATAATATAACCTATAAAAAAATTCCCATCATATCGCGCAAATCGTGTTTTAAAAAACTGAACTTTATAAATTAAAGTTTTTCTTTTTTATTTTTTACTTAAAAAAAAAATCATTACTATTTTGATCACGAATATGTTGATGGTAAACTAATCTTAAATAGTTGCTGATCACAGCAAGACCTCAAATAAATATAATCGCAGTTTAAGTGTCAGATAAATTCGAGCAATTTTGCAAGTCAATAGTTTTGCGAATTATTTGACCCTCGAGAAGCATTCAAAGGTCAACTCTATTGGTACGGTGGTAAAGTTAAGGGAAAGAAAATCGTTTAGGAGCAAAGTTGGGAAAAAGAGAGCGAGGAAGGAAACTATAAAGGGTGACTAACAGTACTATGATACACTGAAAGAAAAAAAAAAACGTAGAGAATTATTGCAATGGCACACTTATGTACACAACACAACTTTAAGAGTAAGATTGTATCTAAACTAGCGGAAGTAACGTGTAATGTATGTGCACAGTCACAAGACAGTAATGTTTTAACGTGACTTCCGTCTTATTGTTGACTGTTAATCTACTTAAAAATTTAGACTGAATAAATATAATCTATGATTGTTTGATAATTTACTGACATCATTAATATAAAGTTAGGTAATAGTCATTGAACTATTGCGAAAAGCTTTTCTGAGTGTCAATAGAGACAATGTGGCGCCAGGCAATAATCTTAAAGGGAATGTAATGCTCGAAAGCACTAAGTTATGGCAGTTAAAGGGACTCTTATTATTGTGTATACGGTAATGAAGGTAATTGAACAATTAAAGCTTATACTGCGTGGCTTACAATAGTAGACTATACTCTTGGACGATTCACTTTCTCTCCTCACGAGTGAACCGATTAACTCGAAATCACCCGTACCGCGTGATATTATCTCGTTTAAATTTGACGCTACTCCGCTCTCATCTATTCCCGACCTCTTAACGTTATATTGCTTAACCACTAATTTCGTAATAACGAATAACAACTATGAAGGGTCCTCTTCATCAACAACTGGCAAATATACATACTCTGAGGTAGTCAGCATAATTAAATAACGTAATACTCACGAAATGTATTAAACGAACCATGACCCTCTCTCTGTTTGTGTCTTACAGAATGAAAATTCTCAACAAAAGTAACACTCCCTAGGAATTATTATTATTGTTATTATTATTACCATGCGTTAAATTCGCACGTAATTATACAAGAGACATTACAAACGTGAGTTTGGTAGAGCGTTGCTGCGTAAAAAAAACTTGTTGTAATACTATTAATAGCCAACTTTGCAGTTTTAATTATTTAAATTAATATTTACATCAAGACTATAATGATAATGCATTGGGAAAACTTTTTGTCTCGTTTTTTTTTACGAAATACCGGTGAATAAAAATAAAATATAACAGTATTAATATATTTAAATATTTTATTTGTTTACTTTTAACATATTATTTATAATCTCTAATAGAAAAAAAATATGTGTCATTATAAGTATATAGCTATGTCCATAAAAAATTTTTATATCAATAAAAAAAAAACTAAAAAATGATACTAACGACGAATAAAAAATCCCAAATGTTTTTTTTATTACTCGAATATATTTTGGATACATTTAACTCCTCGATACATTATTGATACATCGGATTACATACCAAATGACTTTAATATAAATTTAAAAATAAAAAAAAACTAAATTATTAAATGCTAATTATTAAGCTATAATATTTTATTTATTTTATTTATTTATTAAAATGAATGTAACTGAATTGAACTTAAATATTTCTCTTAATAATTTATTACTACCCAATAATATAATAAATTAAATTTATAGAATAATTTTATTTTGCCTCTTTTTTTTTAGCAAGTTTTTAATTTATAGCAAATTTACACATACCATTTGTATTCAGGAATGTTTAATTAACGAACAAGTGGAATAAAATTAGTCTATATAACGTGAAACAAGTGATAGTAGTGGGCTTGATTTAATTAAGTTTCAATTAGCCAATTAGATAGTTTGGGTTTAAGAAAAAATATAAAGGTACGCAAGAAGGAAAACGAAGAAGCTACTATATTGCACGAGCTTCTCTCACGATATGAGGTAACTAGCTTTCTCCTATAACAGACGCAAGTTAGATTTAACCTCCTACTGCGTTGGGTCGTCTCCCGAAATTACACGGACGCATGTAAAACAATAGATTGAAATAAAGAGCAAGTTTTTTCACACTGTGTGACTATATTTGCCCCACTCTAAATATATGCTAGCCTGTGTGAAACCAGTGCACACGTATGTTTTATTCGTTTGATGCATGATCTTTCCCTCATGTCTACATCTTACCATCATAACATCACCAGCACGAATGAACAACTATGTAATCCACACAGGAAACGAGGTACAGTGGAAGTAAAGCCGCTTGTATAAAAGCCTCGTTGAGATCTCTCAAATCTTCACAATTCAACTTTGATCCAGTACTGATGTGTCTCAAAAAAATGAGAGCAGTACGACAGGTAACTGCCGAGTGTTAATCACATCTCAATAATTTTATTAACATCTCAGGTTTTAGATAGTGATTACATGTGAATTTAAAGTGAATTCGTGCAACATTTATTTGATATTAAATTTTCATATTTTGATGACTCATTTGAATTTGAACCTAGTGTATGTCTGTCCGAATAAAAGGGATTGATGTTTTATTGTGATTGTCATGTGGAATTTACATTTCTGTGAAGTAATATAGCTATTAACTATTGATATATTTCCGTGAATTATCGAGTACCATTTAAATCCAATAAAAAAGCAAAAAAAAAAAAGGATATTCAATTGAATAATTTACTTAAAACAATTTTTAAATTGATTATAATATTAAAAATCTTTTTAATGAATAAAATATGAAATAAAGGGAGGTTCAGGAGTGATTGAAATGATCAATTATTTTAAATAGCACAGCTTTATATTAAATTTAAATTTACCCACACAAACATTTGATTGAGTAATTTGATAGTTGCAGCTATATTGACAAAACTAATTGATACGATTAGTTCTAAGGGGATAATTGAATAATCTGAAACTGTAGTAAATGGAATCGATAAGAGCAAACTGAAGATCTATTGCTACCAATTTAAATCAATATAAACGTCGAGTATATCGGCCATTAATTTCTGTTGTCTGTATGGTAGATATCGCTGACATTGATGGTAAGTCTAGGAGTAGTTTACGGCGAACCACCACTGAGCAACCAGTATGGTGTTCCTGCAAATTTGCCAGTAAGCAGTAACAATCACGAATCTCATGGAGGCATAACGAATAGCTATGGTGCTCCATTGGGATCGAATGGTCACCATGATGAACATCAGGATTACATTGACAGTCAGGTAAAATTATTTGTTTCAAGGCTACAATATGGTAAGCAGTAAAGCTTTGCCATTCTACAATAATTACTTCGTGTCAATCCTAATTAATCACATAAACGATCAATGAATTATTGATGAATCTGCACAACTGTGAACAAGCTTAAATATTGAAAATTAATTAGTGGGAGAATAATCGATACATTTCCAATTCAATTACTTAGAGTCTTTATATTATAAATAATTATCATTACCTAAATTTCTAAAATTAATTATTTAAATCTATTTAAATGGTTGAAAAGAAAAAATAATAATGAATTTAAAAAAATTTCTTACAGCCAAAATCTTATGAATTTGGATATTCAGTTAAAGACTCAGCAACTGGAAATGATTTTGGTCGACAAGAGACCAGTGATGGTGAAACTGTCCGTGGAGAGTATCGAGTACAACTTCCAGATGGACGAATTCAAATAGTCACGTATATGGCTGATTGGAGAACTGGATTTCATGCTGATGTTAGATATGAAGGCGAAGCATCTTATCCAGATCAATATAATAATGGATATAACAATGAATATAATAATAATAACAATAACATCAATAATAACAATGGTTATAATTCTGGTTACAATAATTTTAATAATAATAACAATAGCCCTGGTTATAACTACAATAATCCAAATCCTACCAATGCATATAACCGAGGTAAATATTGACGTTTTTATTTACTACAGTAGAGATATTGAAAATTTATTATCTTCAAAAAAATAAAAAAAAGTTTCATTTATAAAATCGTTTTAATGTTTTGCAGGCAACTTTAATAATTACAATAACAATGGATACTTTAATAATAATAATAATAATAATAATAATAATAATAATAACAATTACCAGCAATATGGACCCCCAGGCAACCAGTATAATGGATATAGTGGAAGTAACACATTTGGATCTCAAGGGCCTCAACCAACCTATAGTACACCACAGTTCAACTAAATAGAAAATAAATTTCTCATGAAATTCACTTTACCTAATCTTCAAAATGGGGTCCAATGTGGTGAATACGAATGATCGTAGTTATTTGATTGTGGTTATTGGAGTATTCACTTGGGTTTTAAAGCCAGTGCAATAGTGATATCAAAGAATTGTATGAATGTGTATTATACATATCTTAATTCTCACAATACATTGATGTATGAGTATTATTTCTAATGTATATAGTAGAAGATCTAAATTTTCACAGGCCTAATGATTTAATATTTGATGATATTTTTTTATTACTTTTTTCTATGATATTTTTTTGTACAGGATTTTTTATAATTTTGTAATAAAATAAGATAATATTTCAAGAATAAATTTAAATAATATGAATAATTTTATTAAACATAAATAAACAATAGATTTATTTAAGTTCTTATGAATAAAATTAAATATTAAAGTATCCCATTTTAAATTGTATAAAAAAAAAATCTAATAAATGATTAAATGGACCTTTGGGAAGAGAGAAGATAATGTGGATATTCAAAGGAACATTTTCTTCTGGTATATCTGATTATTACGTAGTTGAAAAATGAATAAAAATAAATGATACCAATATATATAGTAGCAAACGAATTTTGTCTCGTCATGGGATCTCATAAATGCATCTACTTGAAACTTTCGCTTGGTAAGGATGTAATTTATTGCTCATGTGCAAAGCTGTATGGTACACCGGTAATATAACTGACCATCACGTCTGGTTTTGAGGTCGTACGAGCGTACCAAGGGTCTTGTAGTAAACTACACATATCGTTTCGTCTGAAAGCTTGCTCTGATGACCCTTCGTTGCTCTGGTCGTTTCAACCAAAAGCATCCTCTCGTCTACACGTATAGAATAAAAATTCTTGCTCTGTTTCACGCTTTCTGGATGGCCTCACTAGCGATGAAATCACAATTTTATATTCATGAGATACAACCAAAACGACTTTTTCTAACGCCACTGCAAATTCCATTGCCCCAATCCAATGTGGTCTTTTTCATGCTTGGCTTGTGGAATTGATTCTGGTGGACCAAGTCAATCGTGAACAAGGTATCTCGATTCTTCAATAATTTTATAGTTAATTAAAATTTTTTAAATTGGAAAAAAATATATCTTCAATCAATAAAATACATTATTTGTATTTCCATCATTCTTTTTCAATTCTTCAAATTCGATTGATAAAAAAAAAATCTTGAAACAATAAAATAACAATGGAATTTTTGAATGTTTAAATTAATTATAGTACGAAAAATTGGAAATTTATAAATTAAACTTATTGATATAATTCTATTATTAACATCCATTGACACTCTAGCTAATAATTCTCTCAATTTTTAATTAAAAGACACCATAAATATTGCAAAGTATTAATGCAACTTTATTTAAATAATTGTCAATATATACTCTTATTATTTATATATAAAAAATTGCTGAACGCGCCTAAAGAAGTTTTCATTAAAAACTGCTAAATAAATAAATAAAATAAACGTGATACTTTTCTTAATGAAATAATGGTAAAATAAAATATCATGAGTTGTTTGTAATCGGTCATAAACTTTGCAATCGTTCGTCACATACATTCTCATTAATTGCACAATTGAGTTAGATCACTTTTATACCAGAACGGTCTAATCTCTCATAATCCTCTTCACCACTTGCATCATTTTGGTATTCGTGCCACCCATTAGAGCAAAATCAGCTTCATTTGCGTGAACTTATTTAACTATGAGGTTGCTGTTTTCCTCACTATTTCTCATCTGTCTGACTTTAAGTATTTTCTAACAACACTAAATTGATGATCGATTGATCCATGGAGCAATGATCTCATAAATTCTATGTCCAGCATGATTCAACAAAGTTAATTTAATGATTTACGTGGCTGAAGGTATTTCAGACCAATTAGTTACATCATCAATTGTATCAAGATGCTGTAATTATTATCAAGATTTTTGTCCTTTCTCTTTTATCTATGAAATCTCTTTTAAATACTCGTTGAATGTATTCGGATTCTACAAATCATAAATAATTATGTTTAATTTTCAAAAAATAGAATTATATTAAAAGTTACTTACTACGTAGCTTTATTGTTAATTTTAAAACCACTTAGTTTTATAGAAGACAATTATTGTTCATGGCAAAATACATTCCATGTCAAGTACCAAACAATGAACATCAAATGGGCTTGTTTCTGGTACTCATCTCGTGTTGCTCGTTTACGAGCAATGAATGAGCACAAGTTTTGTGCTGGAAAATAAGAAAGTTTAAAGCACTATTTTAATTTTAACTAATAAACAAACTTGTAAAAAAATACGAGAATTAATTGTAGCTATTTTTTATATTTAAAATAAATGATATCATTTGATATATGAATGTATTTATAATTATAACATACTTGAATGAAATTTGACAGGTATTCAGCTTATTGAAGACTTCGATTGGTCCACATTATATTACAATTAATATAAATTATAATAGTAACTTCAATAAACTGATTATGTTAAAGTTATATTACCTGTCATACATGACAGTCTGTATAAGTTTGCTAGGTAGATTTAACTTTATGTATTATAGATAGATATTGACATTTATATCTAGAATAATTCATAATCAATTTCCTGATCAAATATCTTATAATAACTTTATTGAGGAATAATAATAATAATGATGATAATATTAATTGAATACTTGAAGAATAGTTGAATTTATAAATAAATTACGAATTAACTCAAATTCCACTTCACTACATAATTTATATAAAATTAAATAATGCAGAAAATAGTTTGATGAATGATTTTCATATATAAAAATGTAAAATAAATACTTTGAAAATTCTGAGATACAAAGTTCCGTATAATTCTAATTTATAAATTTGATGAAACTTTGTTTAACTAGTCATCAATCTCATGCATGCATGTCAAAGTGAAACTCTAATGCATAAATTAATATTAAAGCTCTTTAAAATTCTAATCCCAGTTTTTGACAAACAAAATAAAATCAATTCATTTTTTTTAAGTACTTCTATTATTATGTTCCAATAAATTATTTATTTTAACATTAAAATTCATGGGAAACTTTTTACTTAAAAAATTTATTCATCTCAATGCTGATTTTGAGGTTTATAATGCAGCGTTATTTATAATAAATCAACTTCTCTCATCGATATGATAATATGGAATTCTATCAGTGCAAAATCAATGTTAGGATAATAGAGGTAATTTTCGAAATATTTTATATGAAACGTATTGTATATTTAAGTCAGTTATTCGTGATGCTGTAAAGGTGCAGTTGAATTTGCGTGATAGGTGGATAATTTACTTAAAGCAGGAGCACGCACGCGCAATCAATTAAATTCTTGGGGCTATGTAGCGTCATCATCGAAAGAGGATGATCTGCTTGAAGCCGTAGTCTGACGAGTGAAGGGAAGATTATTATTTCATAGCTCCCTCAATCTTTCTCACTCTTTCTTACTCTGACACCATGTAACTATAATCTTACGACTATTAACTATACACCAACGCAACACAATACTGATAAACTGTAACAAAGATTCACCTAAGGTATAAAAGCATTACCGTGAATCATCATTTCAGTTCTTCAAGATTTCCTGATAGAGCGATATGACTCATATCCAGGTTCGTAAAATTATTTTAATTCGCGATAAAAGTTATTCCGAAAATTTATAATCAAGTGAATTGTGTAAAATAATATTGAATCGCGACATGAATAATAATATATATTTTATATAAGAGTTCACACAATTTTCCATATAATTCCGAGCGCAATTTATCGAAACTTACTAGATAGGAGCCAATCGTTTGTCATTCACTTCGTGAAACGAATACCCTTTTGCTTAAGCGTGCAAGATCGTTTAGAAGTTCGTGAATGAATGTATACCTTCCTCCTCTTTTTCCTTCTATCTCAGAGAAATTGAAAAAACGCGTGATCATTTTCTTTTTGCTCTTTTATTATTATTTTAAGTAGACAGTTATTCATTGCAAGGTTTTTGAAAGAAAAAATTTCATCTGTCTATCGAGCAACATTTGAATATCCATACAGTACAAGTTGCTGGAAATAAACCATTTCTTTCAGGATTAAATTTTAAATCATTCCAAATTTTTCTGCAACAGATTTCAATCTCACTATATTGATAAAATAAACTCTCAAAGCACTATTACTAACAAATTTAAATGTTGATAATAAAACTTTTTTGATGTACAGATTATCAATATTTTATTGGCGCTGTACTGCGTCAAGTATTCAGTCTTGGCTGGATTGTTACCAGAAGGTAACAACGGTTATCAATATAACAGACCGAGTGGGGGAGCTTTTAGTTCATCCAATGTTGATCCTAATAGACGAGGCTACCCTGTTGATACGCCTGAACGATTTGGTTTGAATCCCATCACTACTCCTGGTGCCAATGTATATGACTTTGGAGGCAGACCTACAACTTCGTATGGAGCTCCTGGCTTCGGAGGTTTTGGAAGTGATATCGGGTTCTCTAGAAGACCGGTTGGTGCGTTTAATGTTCCTGGTGGATACAATACCATTGGAAATTATCAGGGTAGAAATGGTGTACTTGATTACAACGGAATCAGTGATGCTTATCGTAATCCTTTTAATATAGAAGATAATAGAGTAAGTTTTGGAGCCCAAGTTATTTTATTTATAACATATCTTCATGAACTTTGTGTATTTAAAGAATGAAAAGCGATATCACATTATGAATAATTCAAAGATGATATTTCTATTGTTTCAAGAAAAGATGATTAATCCGGTTGGTCAATCTGATTGCCAGTTTATTTTGGGATAATTTCGAGTTTTTATGGCTCAAGAAAATATTAATGATAATGTGGTATCGATGAAGTGTATTAATAAGCTAAATTTACAATGGAAATCGAGGAATCTATTTTCAGTAAGAGTTGAAATTTATGAAAACGTCATGAACATAATCTACATCAATATTTTATTAGAATTAATTAATATTATTTGATTTTTGAAAATGTAGGTTATGATCGTTGTACGTTATGAATAATTTATCATCATTACGATACGTGTAGATTTCCGAAGTTAATTTATAATGAAAATAATGACAATTTTCACTTAAATTTAGAATAAACAGTTACTTTAAACTTTATTATCACTTTGCTTCATAAAATTCATATCAAGAGAATGATATTTTTTGGAGTATATAATAACAAAAAATATCTTTATGTCACAATAAAAATCAATAAAATATAATTCGATGTATCTGGTCATGATGAAAGAAGAAAAAAGGCAGAAAATTGTGAGGTATTAAAATATTGGAATATGTGACTTTTAATCGAGTCCCTGGAAGCAAATCGTACGTATGGGAATACAAAAAAAAATAGTTTGATAAACGAATATTAATGACATGTTTATCGAAGCGAATATCGCAAAACTCGGTGAATCGTGATAATAATTCGATCGTTCAACAAATCGTTCAATAGAAGAGGATACATTATTGTGGTATCAGTGGTGAGCCCCGCGGGATAGAACGTTGCCATCGATGTCGCACGAGAATGGAATGGACCGAGAAGAGCTTTCTATCGCGTATTGTCCATTCGACAACCGACAGCCGATAGCCACCAGAGGCACTTTTTAAACCATCCATCGTTTGAACCTTTTGTATTTTTACTAGTTTCGTTTTTCTTTAATTCTTTTTTTTTTATATTCCTTTGGTAATATAGCCACGGCCATACAGCTTCCAATACGAGGTACGGGATCCACCGAGTGGTAATGACTATGGCCAGCAGGAAACCAGTGATGGAAATGTGGTTCAAGGAGAATATCGAGTTCTTTTACCAGACTCGAGAACACAAATCGTAAAATATACTGCAGACAATGTGAACGGGTACAATGCTGATGTTCAGTACGAGGGTCAGGCACAATTTCCAAGACCTGGTGCTGCCTCAGGCTATCAATTTCCTGGTACATCCGAGACTCCTTATCAACCTAGCTTTGGTCTTATACCCTATCAAGGTCAGTATGTCATCTTAATTTCCAACTATACAAGCTACTGGTCAAAAGTAAATACTCGAAATAGTTATAACATTTGGAATTGTTCAACACAACTATTGTTACACATTTATTATTTGGTGATGGTTGCTAGACATTTTTAGTAGAATAATATATGCTAATTTTCTTGAAGAATAAATATCATAAAATTTTCACAGTATTTATTTGCTTTATAAACAAGTCATAATTTTAATTATATCTTAATAATATTTTTGTCAAGGTAAAACGAATTTTTTTTGTTCAAAAAATTTATGTTCTTCTCATGCTAATCCTGCAACTCTGCGTAAAAATGTTTACAACCAACCCACCGACATGTTGCGTCATAAGAAGCACTATACAGAACATCACGTAGCGAAAAATGCAGTATCATAAATATAAATGCGATTTTATGTTGGATGACAGGTAGAGGCAACTATAACGGACCAAGTGGAGGAGGATTCACTCCTCGAAGTAACAGCATCTTTGGTAGTGGCGGCGGCGTTGGTGTAGGTACTGGTCCTGGTAATCAATACTTACCTCCCGGCGGTGGATATGGCAAATGATCGCAAGCAATACTCTTATCACATTTTAATTTTTTTTATTCCTCTTCGACTGCCACTCATCTTCATGTTCTTGTTATTTATCGTAAAGATGAATTTGCAGAATGTTAATCATGCTGTTGGTTCTTTCTTTATCTAGTAAAATACCTATTTCTACATAAATTAAAACACTATATTATTTGATTAAATATAATTATGTTATGATTTTATCTATAAAGCTTTAAAAATTATACTAATTGTGTATGCAACATGTAGATGTGTTTTATATCATGTTGATGACTCTCAATCAAAGATTTGCATTATCTGTATATTTTATACTAATAATACTTTAAATAAAATTTCCTCAATGACTTATCATCTATGAAATAATTCTCTTGATTGTTCAATAACATATTTTCAACAAAACACCAACACTTGTGGTTTAGCTGTAAAGGCAAACAAACTTCTCATGTGTAACAGAAGGAAATATCTCTAAGTTTATGCACCATAACACCGCGGTATGTTAAGAAGCTTCTTCATAGTTTGACGATGATATACTACACTTGGAAAGGTTCCTAAGCTATTTCAAATTACTCTAATTTGTCTTAAATGTGTGATAAGTATTTCTTGCTATTCAGTCTTGGCAATATTATAAACGTACATTGTTCTTACTGTTATTCAAACAAATCTTTGTTTTTTTTCAAGTCTCTAATGACCAGCATGTATAATTACTTGTTGCCATTTTGTTGCTTGTATTTTATAATTTAGAATATTTTTTACAAATTTATTAAGCTCAGGATAAATAGAGTTAATAGCTCTGTTCATCACTGACTTAATTAACTATATGCTAAAGATAATATTTAAATTTATTTAATCCTACTTAGTGTTAAACAACTAAAATAATGATCACTTTGAATATGTTTTCGTGTATTCATGATGCTAAACATAAGTGACATAAATATATGTATATTGCATCGCTGAAGAAGCTTATCAGACATTTACAAAGCAGGTAAACCACGGCATACCAATTAATTCTGTGCCAGCGTGAGTTATCCTCTCAACGATTCTTATCAATAAACACAAAGAATATCAATGCATTTGATGTACATGAAATTAAACAAATTATACCTACACGTAAATATTTTATAATAATTATTATTTATTTGATGTACTATTTTATTTTTTATCTTTTGAATACAAATAAGAGATAGATGATGTAATCTTAGTATGCATATATAACTGAATATGTAACTTTATCATATAAATTAGTCTGCGAGTTTAATGCGAAATTGTAATAAATGCAATATAGAAGAAAAAAAACATATCTGATAGAATATCATAAATAAAAATGATCTCATTTATCTTCTGTTACGAATAAATATCATAAAATATTTATTGAATAAAAGGAATAATTGAAATCAAATTTAAATATGTAAGTGAAGTAGACTGAGAAAAAATTTTTTGTTATACAACTCTGGTAAAAAAAATGGATGTTTAGGAATGTATTACTGTAACTGGTATTCAATTGAAATTTGAGTCAAGATTATCTTCAGCAATGGAAAGTTAAACTTGGGTTCTTGACAATTGTATGTTAGATGTGAAACAGTGTAGGAAGACGTAAAATTTAGTAGAATCTTTAAAAAATTGTAAAAAGCTGTATTTATTTCTACTTTATTTACTATGATTTGTTATTGTTTCCTACAACTGTTTATTTTTTATTAGGAAAAATGAAAAGTAGTAGTTTTTTATGGAGAAAGCAGTAGAAATTTTTTCCATCAGTAAAAGCACTGTCGATTTAATCGATAGGAAGAATTTGAAATATTTGTAAATAAAATAAAGTAAAGAAAAAACATTATCGATACCATGCATAATTTTTCTGAAGTTTATATATAATAATTGAAAAATCGAAACTTCTATTCGAGCAAAATAAATATAAGTAGTATAAAGCCAATATTGTCGGACAAAATCATTTGTTGAATAAATTTACTTAAATTTAAAAACAAATGTATTTCCATTTCTAACTTCAAAAGCATTTATTTGTAAGTTTACTTCACAGTAAGTAGTCGCAAGAGTAAACTAAAGTTTTCTATAAATATTTATAACGATGGAAAAAGAAGTTTTTGGTGCCGTCAGCTATGCTATAATCTTAGATTCATAGATGGAATAGTACTGTACGAAGGCGCCTCTCTCGTTGAAAGTAGTAGACATTAACTACAATAGTTTTATGTCGGCAAAACTATAGACTTGCATTATTTTTCAGAAATAAAAGTTTATATAAAAGTGTCATTTTTTAAAATGAGAAAAATTTCAATAATAATAATAATCCTTGAATCTGATGGTGGTAATGGAAGAAATTTAAATAGAAAAAAAGATTGGATAGATGAAGAATTGAAATCCATCATACTAATGAAAATGATTTTTTTATAAGTACTTAAAATAATATCCAATTGACCTCGTAGTAACGGCAATTACACTACAATACATCTGAATCCTTTGTATATTTAACTCGTTTCGGCAACGTTCCAAGTTTCTATCTGGCTTTGAAATCATTGTTTCCTCCCTTTATTTATCCCCCGTCGTTCATCACCGATATCCGAAATCGATTCAAGATACGTTGATATGCAATGAGAACAGCTATATCGCGAGAATCGAAATTGAGGCATTGTGCGGATCGTTACAAACGTGTTCCTGCACGGGTCATTATCGCCTTTACAATTACAGGACGTGCCGTTTCGTCGGATACTATATCAGCAGCACTTCGTAACCACTGCGTATAGAAACTATGTCCTCGCTACCATGTAGTACCAACTATTGTCAAAATATTTCGAAATTTTCGCATCTATATTTTTTTGACTCATTTCTCAATGGAGACTCGTTGATCACTGTCCATTTAAATGCGCCACGCCCAATGCGTTCATGGAATTACTACTTTTATCGCTACGTATTTAAATTGCAACACAAGAACCACGCGCTATCAAATTTTACCTCATTGAGTTATATTTATATCCTTTTAATACCCCACAAACTTGCAAAAAAAAAACTTTGCTAGATAAATAAAGCCACTGTTTTAGCTTCGTTCTGGATTACAAATTATAAAATTGTTTCGTTTTACTTTATTTACTGAGGACGAGACATTGCATTCCCAATTAATGTAAATCACCTTTTATTGTTGTTATTTATCAACTCTAATGCAATCTTCAATTACGAGTAATTTTATAACTAACTCCTACACATTTCCTGTACAACCATCATGACACTTTTATGCTTAATTTTTTAATATATTATAAAATAATAATAAGAATAGTAAAATAAAAGATCTTCTCCAGAGACCATATCCTTCTTAAAACAATTCTTCAATTTTCTGTGCACTAGTCCCAGTCGTAAATTAATAAAAAAAAATCAACCGTGCGTTTCTGTAAACAAATTCTATATAAATTTTTTTCCAAATAGTAATTTATTCCAGTGAAAAATAAAATTTTCATGAGCAATGGAGTAATAATTTTGTAATATCTTATTTGTTGATGTAATAAACTTTTTAATTAATTTTTTTATTTTCTGATCAAATTTTAGTAAAGCCTTTTTTATCAACAAAAAAATGCTTTTAGCTTTTAATGACACTTTGAATATTGTTGTATGATCATTCACTTAGGAGTTATAAAAAGTTGAAGCTGAAAGTGCTTTTTTTTTTTGCTTCAAGAGCCAACCATCCAGTCAATGAATAGTCTGCTAATATGGGGAAAAAGTGGGAATTCCATATGAATGTAAATGGTCAATAATTTTTTCATATAATAAAATTTCCTATCTCATAACAATTCAATCACAAATAAAAATAGTTGCAGCATTCTTATATGGGGACATGAAAATCTGATAAATTTTTTTTTAAATAATAGTTTATTTTTATTTTATCTAAATTTATAAAAATGATTTTCTCAAGCTAATTTTGAAATCTTTATTACTTTTTTCATTTTGAAGAAATTTCAGAAAAATTTTAAAAATAACTTTTGGTAATAATCATTAACCTAAATCCTTGAATTCTATTACCATTCATTTTTAACTTTGCTTAAAATATATTTAAAGACATTAAAATACATCCAAACATTACATTATGTATAGTTTGAGATTAAAAATGAGATAGAATTCATAGTAAATAGATGAAAAGTGGTGTAGATATTTTTTCTCCAGTCTGTACCACAAAGTTACTATGAGAATTCCTAAAGTGTAGAACTAGCCTTAAGCGTACAAACGTAGCGTAAAAGCTCGTAAATATGTAATGTGTTCACTGCACAGTGCGTATTTCTAAAGAATGAGATGCTGCTTTTCAATACGTTTGATGTTTCAAAAGGTCTTCTCTTGACTCTTTTATATCGTTATCTTTATGCTATTTCATTCTATCCACGAGTTCAATCATGGAAATTGTAGCAATCGATTCATGAAACTAGCAACAATTGCCAAAATGCTTTGACCCACACGAAACTTTGTGTCAGTGTTACGTCACACTCGATTAAGCGGTATTCGTGAAAAGCAGAATATGCTACACGCGGTAACAGCTTGATGCAGAGAGGTTCAACGAGATGACGGTACCGAGTTCACCAAAGTTTAGATAACTGCTTGTTGAGAACTCAACAAGCTTACTGATCAGTAGACACCTGGCAAGTATCCAGTCTATAGTAGACACCTTGTTATCTTAAATCGTAAATCATGTTTACATAATATCTAAACAAATTGCTCAATTTTTTTTCATCTTTTTAATCATATACAAACATGTAATATTCTTTTAAACTAACAAAATAAAAATTTTGAATAATCGCAATTAATTATTTTTTTTTAGAATTGTTATTTAAGATAATAAAATAATTCATTGAAAAAATACATTTTGTTGTGTTCGATTATTTTAAATAAAGATGCATTAATTTCCTGAGGAAAATATTATTCTTAATAATGCATAATAGATGGCGAGAGTACAAAAGTTCGAATTATTTTATTTTAAAAATAAATACGTATTTAAATATTATGATTTTTAATCTTTTCTATATAAGGGTGATCAATTTTAATCGATCACCAACGAAAAAAAAAACCTTTCTCTTCATTTCAAGCGATTCGATTGGATTTTTAAATGGAATTCGTTCACATCTATTTTAAATATCAGTAGATACTTTTCAGATGGATGAATTCGTTAGAATGAAATTATTTCAATGGAATTATCTCACATTTTTCCTGAAGTATTTTCATATCGCCATTATCCTATCTCTCTAATACATATATCTGCACAAAAAAATGAGAGTTTGTATAAAATATATGTACCGAAAATGTAGTACAACAAGTAATAATAAATAAATGTGATGTATATTTGTTATGAATATATTGAAAAGAAGAAATAAGTTA